TGGAAGACTGCTATCATGTCTCCCCTAATCCTTCTTTTCATTTGACTAGACATACCCAGTTCCTGCCACCATTTTTCATATGTTTTAGTCTTCAGTCCCCTAATCATCTTTGGTGGTTCTTAACAGCTATTTGGCTGACCAAACCATGGATACTTCAGCCAGGGCTGGGGAGGACATCCCTCACCTCAAGGACTGTAGAAAAATTCACAACAAGCAGGATACTTACGGGGCGGCAGGGTAAAAGCAACAGCAGCACTGAAAAATGCCAGGCAGGGTAAATACCACAACGCAGCCATGTTTGAACCTTCTGAGTCGGAAGGTTAGTAGAAGGAAAGCTACAGATGCAGCTACTTTTATACAGTGTGTAGGAACGTTTACAAAGGTTTGTATAGCCAGCATACGACTTTCTGCTAAGTTTTCCACTGCAGCCTGTGACCCTGGAGTAGTCTAGGACTCATACGTCCATGGGAATGGACACACCGGTCTCTTGATTATACGATCAATAATTGGCAGGAGCTTGTAATGGGCTTATGAGGATATTAAAAGTGACCTCAGCTAAACTAAATTTCTTGGCCACTGTTATGGGGACAATCAGAAGAAGAAGATTCTGGGTATCCTCCCTTTTCTCTTGGACCAGAAAGCAAGCAGAGTCGTGTTGGTCTGTTGGTAGTGGGAAATTGAGAATCCACTGCTGTCAATATCTTTCAATCAATCAATCACTCAATCAGAATAGAGCTGGAAGGGACCTTGGAGATCTTCTAGTCCAGCTCCCTGCTCAGACAGGAAACCCTATACTGTACAATTTCAGACAAATGACTCTCTAGCCTCTTCTTAAAAACTTCCAGTGTTGGAGCACCCACAACTTCTGGTGGCAAGCTGTTCCCCTGATTAATTGTTCTCACTGGCTTCCCTCCTTGATCAGTTTCCATCCATTGCATCTTTTCCTGCCTTCTTCTTTGGAGAATAAGTCAACCTCCTCTTCTTTGTGGCAGCCCCTCAAATACTGGAATGCTGCTATCGTATCACCCCTGGTCCTTCTTTTCTCTGGAAAAGGATATATCTAGATAATATATCTGGATAGCCAGATCAGTGTTTCTCAACCTTGGCAACTTGAAGATGTCCGGACTTCAACTCCCAGAATTCCCCAGCCAGCATTCGCTGGCTGGGGAATTCTAGGAGTTGAAGTCTGGACATCTTCAAGTTGCCAAGGTTGAGAAACAATGAGCTAGATAATCTATTCTAGATAAACTATGACAACTCGCTATAGTAAAACAACTTATCTTATGTGCGGCCAGATTTTGACAACAACTTTTAATACAGCACAGAACTTGAGCAAAATGGTTCGGTTCAGGTCGGCATAATGTGGGACTGATTGGGGTAGATTGTAGGGGTGACACTGAAATATAATTTTATTTATCCATATATTAAATTTTTGCATTTTCTTCCAATTTCATTTTAAATTGTATTTTATTCCCATTTCATTTTGAATTGGACTTTATCCGATTTTAGTGATCATTTGTGTTTGGAAATCTGCACTGTGATATGGCCCATGGACTCATCAATAAAGTAAACTAACTAACTCAAAATGATAGGTGCTGTTAAAGAAAATATATGGAAGAGTGTGAGAATTCTGCAGGGCTGGAATGGAAAGCGATGACCTCCAGATCAGCTGTGAAATTCCACCAACAGCACTTGCTTAGTAAAAGCTGTTTCTTGATGCCAGCTCGGTGACAGAGGTTGGCACTAGAAAGGGGTGGCCTGTTATCACCCAAACCTGCTCCTCCTCTGACGGGGTCATCTCAGAAGTCACCTGGCCTTCTCCTCCCAACAACGCACCTGTTTCCTGCCAGAATGTTCCCAGCTAAACTGAACACCTGCTACTCTTACACAAGAAGTTCTCCCTGCCAATAGCTGGAGATAAGGGCAGCCACCATCACCAGCTAGCCAATCCTCTGTTTCCTTCCAGGAATCATGTTCAAACCATTCCAAGTTTCCACAGGTCTCCCTGGATACAAATGAATAGCATCTCCATGAGAAGATCAGGGCATTATCATGTTTGGCCTTTTGGAATGATCCAGCATTTTCTTTCCTTCCTTCCTTCCTTCCTTCCTTCCTTCCTTCCTTCCTTCCTTCCTTCCTTCCTCCCTCCCTTCCTTCCTCCCTCCCTCCCTCCCTCCCTCTTCTTTCCTTCCTCCTCCCCTCCATCCCTCTGTCCTTCTCTCCTCTTCCTTCCTTCNTAGTCCTTCTTTTCATTAAACTAGCCATGCCCAGTTCCTGCAACCATTCATCATATGCCTTAGCCTCCAGTCCCCTAATCCTCTTTGTTGCTCTTTAGGATAAGTATTTGGACTCAGCTTCCGCTCTGTGGCCTGTGCATTCTGTGCATGGTCAGAGGCTCTGCAACCTCTTAAGTCGAGCCCTGCAACATTGAGGAAGCCAGACTGCAGTTGAAAGCTTCTGGAAGAGAAAGCATTAAGCAAGAGGCAACGCAACCATCCTTCCCCATGCCCATTACCTGTAAAGATGCCTGCCAAGGCCACGATCCGGGCATTGCATCCTCTCCATTGACGATACGGGAGTAGCCTGTGATGACGGGCTTAATGGCAGGGTTCCCGCAGGCTGGAAGCAACAGAGAAAATCATCTTTTCCAATTCTACAATTTTCTTTGCGTTGAGGTAAAAGGAAAGATAAAGATAAAGGTTCCCCTCGCACATATGTGCTAGTTGTTCCCGACTTTGTGGGGGCAATGCTCATCTCCTTTTCAAAGCCAAAGAGCCGGTATGGTATGGCTGGTATGACTAAACACCAAAGACGCACGGAACGCTGTTACCTTCCCACCAAAGGTGGTCCCTATTTTTCTACTTGCATTTTTACATTTTACATTTGAACTGCTAGGTTGGCAGAAGCTGGGACAAGTAAGGGGAGCTCACGCCATTACGCAGCGCTAGGGATTCGAACCACCAAACTGCCGACCTTTCTGGTCGACAAGCTCAGCATCTTAGCCACTGAGCCACCGTGTCCTTATGAGTTAGTGGCCATCGATGTCAACCTGGGAATGGTACAGATGGAAGCAGCCAGGATCTCCTTACGATGGACGCAGCCTCTCCACAGTCATGGGATCAAAATTTTGGCACTTGGCAGCTGGCATGGATTGATGACAGATACAGACTCCTGGAACTGTGTCCTCACCATCTGCAATCTTCCCAGCCAGCCAATGACAAGCAGAATCCATGGGGGAAAGCTGCATTTGTTTAACGACTGTGTGGTTCACTTAACAACTGTGGTACCTTACTTAGCAATGGAAATTTGATGACTATCTATAATGGCACTTCTATATTCAGAATGGCATGGCATGGCATGGCATGGCATGGCATGGCATGGCATAGCATAGCATAGCATAGCATAGAATAGAATAGATTAGAATAGAAT